AGGGTTTGATGAGTACTCACAGTATGATGTTAATAACATTGTACTCACCTTTGGAAGGAAGGAGCTCAATGATAATGATCGCNCTTTTAAAAGATTACAGCATCAAAAATGGTTCCATCATTCAATTTGCAGTCAAACTAAGGGCAGCAGCTGAACCAACAGTCATGGTACTAGCCGAGGACCTACTGGATCCTGACTTTGACTATGACTTTAGAAACGAGCCCAACGTAGGGCGGGTCTATGAAAGAGGAGGGTATGTGTACAATCGTCCGTATGGCTGGAGCCGACTGGCCTTGAAGACTAAGGGAAAGTATCCACCTGATGATGCCTGGTTGGGTATACTGGCCAATCGTACAGAGAGTTCAAATGAGGAGTGGCCAGTCTCTTATCATGGGACAAAGAGAGAAGGAGCAATGGCTATAGCAGCTGAAGGATATGATGAGGATAAATTAGACCGGGAGAACTTTGGAAGAGGGTTTTACTCAACACCTGATGTTGAAGTTGCTGCTGACTTTGCTCCACGATTTGACCATACTGATGGTAAGAGGTACGAGGCTATCATTCAGAACAGAGTTAATCTCAACTCTGGACACTCTGAGATAATTCCAGTGGAGAAGACACGACATGGAGCAGAGTATTATCTGACATATTCTTCTGATGACCTGAGACCATACGGGATATGTATCAGGGAAGTTAAAGCTATTAGTACTTAACTTTTGAATGATTAATAAACAGCATCATTGAACATTACTAGGATTTATTAGGTAGTTTATTAAAATTACAACAATTAATTTTGTTTTTTGCTTTATATAAAATGCTAGTAGAAACATGATAAAAGAATGATAGAAAGTTATAAGTTATATTCAGTACAATGATGAGGAGCTCCCAACCAGATGTCATTCTCATACTGTCCCTTTACTTTTAATGCTATCCTGTTCCAACCGTACGGTCGCCTGTAAGGATACCCTCCTCTTTTAAATACCCTCCCATCATCAGTGATGTGAGTGAAGTCATCATCAAATGCTGGCTCTAATAACTCATCATTTATAAAGAGAAAGGAGTCCCTCCACCATATACACAATATAAAATCTTGTGGTGCCAGACCACGCCCTCCATACCTGTGAGACTACACGATATACAGCAGTTAACACTGATCACTTGGTAATACCATAGTGTGTCAGTGTTTATCAGATTCTAATAGTTTGCTAGCATAGACTAGTATTGTGAAGGGTTCTATAAAATATGGGTATTTTTGAGCGATGTCCCATTTCATATCAGTTTATATTATTCAATAATAATTATATTTAAGATTGTCATGTTTATTAGTAACAAATAATTGTTTTTATTGAGTTAATAATTTTAGAAATATTCAGCTTTGGTGTAGCTTTTGTTTTGTTGTTAGTCTTTTAGTACATTATACTGAATGAATGAGTAGAGCTTACAGCAGGACTAGCCGCTACATGATGTAATTTTAAAATGCATTCGGTATATGTGGGACTATTGGCACTCACTATAAGCAATTTAATTCAAAGGATGATGCAATTATTCAACTGAGTAAATGTTCATGTTCAGGTTTATTATGTAAACTAAATGAGCTAATTAAGCTCTACCATACTACATGTAAGTGTGGTTCCACCCCTTAGCTATTATAATCCATCCCATCCCTCTAAAATAGTAGTATTAAGATAATATAGATTAAGATAGTATAGAGTAAGATAGTATTTTAACCCACCCACTGCATATATCCCACCTCTACTTTGAGACTAGCTATATATCAACAGCAGTCCTTCTCTATACAGCACTGAAGACAAGGTATCATTCCAAATGGCAGTAGCTTCTTCTTCTTCCAGTGCTCACCTACAGTTAGTAGCAGCTGCATTAACCAGTCTAATACCAGGGAGTAAAGTCATTACTAAAGATGATCCACTGTACAAGACACTCAAGGACCCAAAGCCATTAACATACCAGGTGATGAGCCAGAATGTGATCGTTGAAACCAGACCAGAGCCTGATCCTACAATAGTAGTACCACTGGAGAAGACAATGGACATTGAACTACAGCCACTAGCTCATGACACTAGTGATGAACCAACCTCTGGTGGAGGGACCAGTTCAAATATGGTCATCACAGTTCAGTTCCTCAATGGTCAGTTCTACAAGTTTTCAGTGGATCCCAGGGCTACAGTGTATGCTCTGAAGTGGTCCATCTTTAAGAGTAAAGGGTTTGATGAGTACTCACAGTATGATGTTAATAACATTGTACTCACCTTTGGAAGGAAGGAGCTCAATGATAATGATCGCCTTTTAAAAGATTACAGCATCAAAAATGGTTCCATCATTCAATTTGCAGTCAAACTAAGGGCAGCAGCTGAACCAACAGTCATGGTACTAGACGAGGACCTACTGGATCCTGACTTTGACTA